ATTAGCTGGTTTCTAATATTCTTTCCAACACCAAGATCCTAACACAAAGCAGCGCACAGGCATCAGCTGGCATTGAAAACCACAAGCTTCCTTGAAAGCGCCATGAAGGCAGGGCCTTTGTCCATGTGGGTCATTTCTCTATCAAGTGCCCGGAAGAGCGACAGGCATGTAACAGGTGTTTGATGAATATTTGTTGAATGAATGAATGAATGAGTGGATGGATGAATTAGACAATGCAGGTGAAAGTTCTTGGGGTGCCTGGGTGGCTCAGTTGTTAAGCGTCTGCCTTCGGCTCAGGTCATGATCCAGGGGGTCCTGGGATCGAGCCCCGCATCGGGATCCCTGCTCAGCGGGGAGCCTGCTTCTCCCTCTCCCACTCCCCCTGCTTGTATTCCCTCTCTCGCTGTGTCTCTCTCTGTCAAATAAATAAATAAAATCTTAAAAAAAAAAAAGAAAGTTCTTATAAACTGGAAATACTGCAGATAGTTGGAAATAGCAACGATGATCATTGACATTGAGTTGTGTTTCAAGTGCTTTATATGCATCGTTATAAAGACAGGGTTACATCAGTTTGGTCAAAGGAGAAGCATGGGAAGAAGTGAGGTCTGGAGGAACCAGGGAGGACCAGGGAGGGACAGGGGAGGACTAGGGAGGGACCAGGGAGGACCGAGGAGGACAGAGGACAGGGAGGACCGGGGAGGATCAGGGAGGGACCAGGGAGGATGAGGGAGGACTAGGGAGGGTGGGGAGGACTGAGAGGACCGGGGAGGACTGGGAGGACCGGGGAGGACTGCGGAGTCCCAGCCCACAGACAGAGAAGACAGGATGAGGTGGTGGTCTTGGCTCTATTGTGCTCAAGGAAATTGGGAGGGGTACCACTGGGCTTCAGGGCCACGATGACTCCACTAATTAAGAGGTTGAGCTGAGCAGTAGGAGGAGTGGAAATGATCCAGAAAGGGGATTTCATTTCGGAGTTACAAAAGCAAGCAGAGTGAGGCCAAGGAGAAGATGGCATCTTGCACTGGGACCATGTCGCCCCCACCCCAGAACACTTGCCCAGGTGGCGTGGTGGCCCGGTCAACTCCCTGCTTTGTGTCTCAGAAGCCTTTCCGGATGTCCTGGCTGAGATGGGGTTTTCTCAAGTGTCCCTGGCTTCTGGTAGAACAAAGAACCAATACTTGATGGAAAGATAAAAATGAAGAGTTTCCGTGAACTACGTGCCTGATTTCTGCTTTGCTGGGAAAGGCATGGGCTCTCTGTCTCTGAGGAAACTGGAGAAGAGATGTCTGAGGGTCCTGGGGCAGGAATGGGTGAGGTAATAATGTCCTCAGGACATCACTATTTTATTAAAAAAAAAAAAAAAGGATTCCTGCAGCCAGTTCTTTTCCGGATCAGTCTGGGTTGGGGAGCGCTATCCAGATGCCCCCTTACCCTAATCCAGGTTTCTCCTGCAGCTTTCCAAACTTCCCCTTGTTTGTACCCTTTTGAAAGCTGGAAAACGAAACCTAGGGGCTGACAACAGCCCTGGGGAGTGGGCATTGGGCTCTCCGGGTCTGTCTCCCCGGCCTGCGCGGGGTCTTTACCACGCGTGGGGCGGGACGCGGTGCCCGCAGTCGGAGCGCGGTCGGGGTGCCCCTCGCGTCCGAGCGGCCAGAGAGGCTGACGGCCCGTGGCCTGTGGCCTCGTGCTGCCACCTGGCGTCCCCAGACCTCGGAGTAGCGTGCCCCGGCCCACGCGCGCACATTCCTGTCCGCGTGCACGCGCGCCCGGGCCCGGGCCCCTAGCAGGATGCTCTCAGCCCCCCGCGGCCAGCCGCGGAGCCGCCCGCCGCCCCCGCTCGTTTCTGTCCTTGTCTCCGCGTCGACAGAGCCACGTCGGGACGGCCGGGGAACGTGAGTTCCCGCCCCTCGGGCTGCGGCTGGCCGGCCGGCGTGGCGGGCCAGGGACGCCCGCGGGCAGTGAGTCCCCCACCCCGGCCCAGGCTCGGGCGGGGGGGGCGGTCGCCGAAAGGGCGCGGGAGCGAGAAGGGACACAGTCTGAGATCAGACAGGGCGCACCCCGGGCGCACCCCGCAGTTCCTAGTGTGGGTTCCCGCCGGGCTGCTTCGCGCTCACGGGGCAGCGGGCGGAGCCCCCTTTCCCAGGGAGGACAGCCGAGGGCGACGCCGGGGACGGGGTCCCGGGCCTCGGGGCTCCAGAGACGGCCGAGGGCAACAGGCGCTGGGAGACCGGCCGCCAGGGAGCCCCCCGCGCGCCCGCAACGGGGGCGGGGACGCGGCTGCGGCGGCCACGAGACCGCAGCGTGCTGCGGCCGAGCGCGTGCCCCGGGGGTGTCCGCGGCGCGGGAACACGCGCGCAGGCGCTTTCCCGCGGCGCGCGCGCGCCTCCTGGTGGCCACGGCGGGTACTGCGCCCCTCCCCAGGGAGCGTGAGGAGCGCGAAGGAAGGAAGAGCCGGGGACGGCGGGGCTGGGCTGCGCAGGAGGCCGGAAGCGGCCTTCGTGCGCCCTGGCGCGGGCTTCCAGGAAAGCAGACACATTCGCCCTAAAATGCAAACAGATAAAACCCATTCTGAGTGTGTTTGATGCACTGCTACCGTTGGTGCGACACCTAACATTCCCGGACTCGGAATCGGCCGGCCCTGCTCTCCGTAACGCTCCCCGAGCCTTGTACTGAATCCCCACAACTCCGTGTGCTGCTGAGCCGTCCTTGCAGCGCTGGGGCCGGGCTTGGGCCGGACCCGGCTGCCTCCAGGCCCGCAACACGGCTTCCCTCCAGCCCGCACTCCCCACACAACTAACTGGGAAGGCGGGCGAGCCGTAGTCAGGTCAGAATCCGGCGGGAAAGAGTCATCTCTCTTCTTGGGGTATCTCTGATCTCTTCCAGCCTCCGGGAATGACTCCATCCTCGAAGGCATTTTCGTGGAGGGACAGCTCACCTGACAGACCCTGGAACCCGGACGTTGAAGCCAAACTAACATTTATACCCAACACGTGCCTCCTCCGGACGCTGCCTGGTAGTGGGGGATAGGGTGGGAGAGACAGGGAGCTAAGCAACAGTCCGTATCCTCCGAAAATGTAAGAGACTAGTCAAGGAGACAGACATTTACAAAAATCTCTGAGACCAGGAAAAATATGATAAAGAAAAGCAAAAAATACTAAGGCTGGGGGTGGGAAGAGTTCGAACTCAATGTGTCGGAGAGTTTGAAGGTTTTCGGAGAAGCCGCATCTGATGGGGGCATCTGATGGGGGCGGGGGCTCGGTAAGGAAGAAGGGACCAGAGAAGGAAGCAAGAGAGAGGACGGAAGGGGTGGGGGAGGGCAGGTGCGTCCAGGGCTCATGCTCTGGGCTGGACGGAGCTCACGCACACAAAAGGCACTGGGAGGACGAAAGGCTGGCGTCAGAGGGGAGCCCTGGAGGCCGAGCTAACAGGGTAGACCGTGCCCAGCACCGAGAGCCATTTAGGCTCTTCACTTGCAAGCAGCGGTGTACTTAAAACCGTGCTTTAGAATACAGTCTGTGGTTGTTGACAAGGGCTTGCTCGTTTCCAGGCCAATGCAACCAAAGCTGACCGAGGGGGTTGGTGGGCACATGGAGGGTGGGTGCACCGTGAACACGCGGAGACCGGCTGGAGGTGGCACAGAGGAGCAGAAAGAGATGACGCGGCAAAATACCCCACAGAGGCCTCAGCGCAACCAGGCTCACGGAGCGCTACCGCTCTCCACTCGTCTCCTCGTAGCCGGCTCGGGAACAGTAAGTCAACCTCACGTGAGGGCCGCACCCAGCCTGTCGCAGGGGCACGACGCAGAGGGCAGAGCCACACGGCCAGGACACGGCCTCGCCACAGTGGCAAGGGCACCGCCCGTCACAGCTACTGACTGGAGGGAGGGGGAGAGACTCGGCCGCCCACTAGCTTTGAGGATACTTGGGCCCCTGAAGACTGGTTTCAGGAGAGAAGACGGGCCGGAACGCAGACAGGCAGATGAGGATCGACAGACATCTCCCGATTCCTCTTGGGAGAAGTTTGATGGCAAAGGAAGGAGAGAAGAAGGCAGCAGTTTGAGAGGGGGAGGGGGGTGACAGGAGATATCCTTTCCCGGGATAGGAGAGATTGGGGTATGTCTGCTTGTTGGGAAAGGGAAGAGAGTACCACAGTTCCCGGAGCTGGCGCGGGCCGAACACAAAGGTTCCAGAGGGGAGGGCAGCACCGCAGCGCTCCTGGAGGGTCAGCCAGAATAAGCAGCGAGGGAAAACTTCCTTCCCGAGGCAGGCAGTTAGGAAACTAGAGAGATTAGGGAAGATCCCGAAGAGTCACCAGAAAAGAAAGCCCTGTGCACAAGAGTAGCAAAAATGGGACAAGAGCCTAAGCAAAGAGTGGAAGACTGAGAATCGTCCTATGAGAACCCGGGTGTTACCTTCCCCTCCGCCCTCCAAGTAAGCTGTGTCCCCAGGGCAATGGTGGGACCACAGAAGGAAATTGGGGGCATTGGACAGAAAGATGGGGGCCAAGAGCTGGAGGCTCAGATATAATTTACTAAATTAGAAAGCATAAAAATATTAATATCCAATGCTAGCAGAGGTACAGGCAGAGTGGACCATATACTGCTGGGACAATTTTCTAGAAGGCCAATTTGGCAATATGTATTAAAAGCTTTTCAATTGTCACACTCCTTTGCCCTCTTTTCAGTTTTAAGTGTTAAATCTAAGGAAATCGAAGATATGTACAGATACGTTCAGTGCTATGTATAATATAAAAAAGGGAACAATTTTTCTTTTTAGTAACTATTTGCTTAAATTTTTTTAAGATTTTATTTCTCGGGGGCGCCTGGGTGGCTCAGTTGGTTAAGCGACTGCCTTCGGCTCAGGTCATGATCCTGGAGTCCCGGGATCGAGTCCCGCATCGGGCTCCCTGCTCGGCAGGGAGTCTGCTTCTCCCTCTGACCCTCCTCCCTCTCATGCTCTCTCATTCTCTCTCTCTCAAATAAATTAAAAAAAAAAAAAAAATCTTAAAAAAAGCATTTATTGACATGATAAAATGATCTGGACAGTAGTAAGTAAAAAAGAAAACACTACACAAAATACAAGTATGTTCTTATTCTTTTCAATATCTACCTATACACACGTGGGTGGTGGGGGGAGAGGGGCAGGGAGGTGAAAACACGTATCTGGCTTGGACAACTGCAAAATTATTGTGACCGTTAGCTGGGATGAAGAATTAGGGAGAAATGACCAGTTTCAGTCATGAAGATATGGAGCCACCAGTGAAATATGCTGGACACACAGAAGGGAGGCTCAGGAGAGACCTTTCGGTCACAAACAGAATCAGAGTCACGAGCATGGAGGTGGCTTAAACCTCAGGCACAGACACTTCCCTGACAGGGAGTCATAGAGGGAGGGCAGCCAAAGACAGAGTCCCCAGCAACCGACACAGAGGGAGCAAAAGCAGCACAACTGGCCGAGAGTGAGGGCCCTGAGATGGCCCGAGGTCCCCGTCGAGCCCCGCGGCCCCACGCCTGCAGACGAGCCTGCCCGCATCTCATCGCCGGAAAGCATGGGGCTCTCCCGCCCCAGCACGGCCTGCGACACAGTCCAGAGATGATCAGTCCTTCTGCCTGCTTCGGAGACTTCTCACCTGCTGTCCCTTCCCCTCACTGACCTGTCAGTTCTCTTGCAGCGCCCCCCAAGGGCGCTCTCAGCTACCCCTTCTCGCGCACATTCAGCACGCCGGGGCTTTAATCTCAAGTGGCGCTCACGTCTCCAGTACTCGTGCTCTGTGCCTCTCCCCCCAGCGCCAAACTCCTCCCGCGTGTCATCTGTACACGTGTGCATATCGTCTGTATGTAAGTTTGACTCCCCATCACCACTGCACAACCCCTTTCTCGGGAACTACAGGAACACATCTCCCAGCTCTCTCTGCTCAAATTGCCCTCAAAAGCTGCCAGCAATCTCCTTTTCTTAAAATCCAGTGGGCTTCATTTGGCCAACAGACTTTGATCTCTCTGCAAATTTGATGATGCTGACTGTCCTTCTTTCTTGAAAACACATTCTGGCTTGGCTCAATAAACACTGATGGAACACTTCTCGGTTTGGTCATAAAATTTTAAAAAGGACAAGACTCGATCTCCGAGGATGAGGAGTTGAGCCCAGTTGGAGCAGTTCCATGAATTTAGCCAGAGACCTTTGCCCCGGTCAGAAGGGCTTCAGTGAGATGGCGGAGGCTGACTTCAAACGGCACTGAGCGGAGGAACAAAGCCAACTTATGATAGGAAGAGAGGCAGCAGAATACAACTGATTCTGTTCGGCAATCTGTTGGAGAAGGGAAAAGAAAGAACTTTCCAGACAGTCCCTGGAAGGGAGCGTAGAACGGAGCAGGGTTTTTAGGATGTGGAAAGACTTCGCAAGCTTCTAGAGTGAAGGAGATGCAAGGCGAAAGCTGAAGACAGCGTGGGGCTAAGTGATGGGTTGGCTGGCACTGACATCAGAGCAGTGGTGTGGACAGAAACAGGACACTTCCAGTACAGCTGGACGGAAGCACTCTCGGACCAAGGGTGGGAAGAGCCCCGTGGGTACCATGCCACAGAGACCAAGGACCAGGGGTTGGTAGGTGTGGAGTGGTGTTTTTGTTCTTTTACCAGAGTTTTAAAATAATCTGAATTGGGGCTCAACACTTAAAAATCATGAGATTTCAAATAAAAATCTACATTTCCAGCTTCATCTTAAGAACTGGAAGAGACAGGGGTGCCTGGGTGGCTCAGTTGGTTAAGCGACTGCCTTCGGCTCAGGTCATGATCCTGGAGTCCCAGGATCGAGTCCCACATCGGGCTCCCTGCTCGGCGGGGAGTCTGCTTCTCCCTCTGACCCTCCCCCTCTCATGCTCTCTCTCTCTCATTCTCTCTCTCAAATAAATATGTTAAAAAAAAAAAAAAGAACTGGAAGAGACAGTGGGCTGGCTCCAGGTGGGCATGGGCTCTGCAGTCGCCACCACCCATCACACATGTGGCAGTGGCCCCCGACAGGGAGAGTGTGGCTGCCGGGCTCCCCTGGGCATTGGACTCTGACACCCACGCTGTTTTTCTTTCCTGCTTCTCAGACTCATCCTTCTACGTCGCTCGCCAAGGCTGCTCCTTCTCCAATTGGATAGCCGGGTGTTGCTTCTGTTCTCAGCACTCTCCGCAGTTTCCCTTTGAGATCCCATCCAACCACTGCTTCTGTAAGCTGCCCGCAACCCAGCACCACGAAATCACTCAACAGCGGGGTTGCAAAGGAATTCAGAGATCAGATGGTTCAGTCTTCTCAATCCACAGAACACAGTCCGATCACAGAACTCTAGAGCCCAAAGGAGTTTTAAGGTTAACTAGCCTCATTTACAAACAAGGAAACATAGGTGTCAGAGAGATTAAACAATGCTCCTTCTCCTTCACCACACAATCCTGTGCAATTCAACACAAATCTCCTGAGTTCCGACTTCATGCAAGGCACTGCGGGGGACAGGGACTTGGGTCAGCCCCAACTTCCCGCACATGCACACAGACTAAAACATGGGAGTCCCAGCACCACGAACGTATTATGGGACAACGGAAGAAAACAAAGTCCCAGTGATGGAAATCTGTATTTACCTGTATGAGTCGATTTAACTCGATCCTGAGAAGGGGCTAGGGCACATGCTTTAGTTCTTGTTGTGTGCAGACATTCTTTAACATAGGAGAAAAAAACGCTCAGACAGCTGAAGTGACTTGTCCAAGGTGACAGGCCTAGAAACTGGGTCTCCTAACTCACATTCCGGTGCTCTCCCTTCAGCCCTGACTTGTCCGGAGCACTCTCCTTTGGCGTTTCTGAATCACTGTCCGTCTATGACCTTGCTTTACCCACTCAGCGGCTCCACCATTCTTCCGGCTGGGATGCGTCAGTGTCTGGCAGCCACGTGCGACAACATGCAACAGGACACACCCCTACAACACCCCCTCACACCTATTCTGCAACAGCTTTCCCTTCAAACCGTCTTTTACCCAGGCCTTTCTCTGGGGACTGCTTCCACCGCTGCGGGGGAGGACCTTATTATCTTAATATGGTCTTGTCTTCTGTCACTGACAAACTCACAGAGCCTTAGAGGGACTTGTATCCAAACTTCGCCCAGAGAGAACACAGCTTCTCTGGGACTCCTGACCCTGACAGTGGCCAGCCAGCTGCCGTGCGGGCACCCACCTGCCTTCAGGGTAGCTCCCTTCACTACGGGTCACCCACGTAATGAGAAAGTCCAGTCACTCACCCACTCAGCAAGTGCTTACTGACCATGCTCTCTGTCCCAGGCACAGCGCTTGCCACACTGGAGATTAAACCGTGCGGGGCTCCCCACTGGTCTTCTGCACACTCACCTTTCCTGTCTTTGTCCTGCTGGCCTCAGGTTAACTTTCAATTCTGTTTCTTCATCTTGCACATGGAGAGAATTATCTGTTGTGAGAATCAACTGATACAACGTGTAGAAGTGCTCTGGAAACCAAGCGTAATATAGGTAAGGCTTTCTCCTTTTTCTCCAACTGTGTATTTTTTTGGAGGGGAGGTGATGCCACTCTCTCTCTCTTTTTTTTTTAAGATTTATTTATTTATTTGTGAGAGAGAATCCCAAGCAGACTCCACGCTGCCCACCGGCCGGATGAGGGGCTCGATCTCACCACCCTGACATCATGACCTGAGTGGGTATCAAGAGTCAGAGGCTTAACCACTGAGCCACCCAGGCGCCCGCCAAGCCCATTTTTAAATCATACTCCACACATGCAAGAGTAAGCATCCCATGTATTACGCTGAAACCACAGTGAAACACCCATGAATCTACCATTTCGCCCAGTTAGGGAGAGCGCAGCCAGCGGCAGCCACCCGCCCTGCCGCGTCCCACCCCAACCTCTCCAACTACTCAAGAACGCCCTGTTTACCCTTCCTCCGACTTTTTACAGCGTTTTACCACATATACCTAAAGCTGTGTTGCTTATTTTTGAAGGTTATACAAATGGCTGAGAACGTCTGCAGCGCTCCGGGATTTCTCCGTTGGTGCATCCCGGGACGCCCTGGGGTCCCCGCCAGCGAGCGGACTGGCCCGTGACCGCGGCCTCTGCGCGCACAGTGGCCGGGGCTCCTCCCCACGGAGTCCGCTCCGGGCACCGCCGCCCGGCCGCGCGGCGCGCGGAGGTTCCACCGGGACTCCGCGGCTGGGCGCGCCGCCCGGGCCCCCACGGGGCCATCTCGGTGCCGGTCGCGCAGAAACGAGGCGGCGCTGGGATCACGCATGCGCACCCGCCGCTCCAGGCCCGCGCGAGACCAGACTCCGCGGTGCGCCCGCGGCGTTTTTTCCCCATCTAGGGCTCAAGCTTTTGTGTACGCATGCGTCTTGTCCGGGCTGCGGTTGGCTGATGACCCCGTCCGTCATCGGAGTGGCCAACCGAGTGAGGCTCAGGATTCACTTCCCGCCCCACAGTGGGGCGCTGGGCGGAGCTTTGGGGCTTTGTCCGCGCCCGCGCTAGGGTCGACGAGCCCCCTGAGGGTGTGTGTGGCCCCAGCCGCCGCTTAACGATTATCGCCGCTTTCGTGGCCGCGTCGTGGCGGGGAGGGGGAGTGGGCGGGTGGCAGGCCAAAGTAAAGGGCACTGGCCGCAGTGACCACGGGGCAGCTGCCAGTCGGCCATTTATTGAGCACCTGCTGTGTGCCCGGCGCTGCCCGGCGCGCCCTCCGGCCTCCCCTCGCCCCATCCGCCTTCGCGGAGGCGCCCGGCCCCGGGGGCTGGGGGGGCGGGCCCGGCGGCGCGTGACCTCCCGCTGGGCGGGCCCGGCGCGGCCGCGTCACCGGCTTCTGGAGGCACGTGGCGGCGGCTGCGCGGGGAGGGCGAGCGGCTCCGGGGCGGCGGGGGCGCCCTTCGCGGGACGCCGACCCGGCGCCGAGAGGGGCCTGCAAGCACGGGGAAGCGAGTGTGCGGCGAAGGAGGGTGAATGCAGAGCGGCCCCGTAGCGGTCATCGCGGGGCGCCCGGGCCGATTGGCCCTGCACCTTCCAGCCAGGGGCTGCCGGACGCGCAGTGGAGAGAAGCCCAGAGCCGACTGTGCCTGTGGGCCCTTGGGTGTACTAGCCGTGAAGGGTGATTGAAGTCTGCGGACAGAATTAAGCGCTCTGTACCCACGCCAGTAGGAGCCACTTTGGAGCCTGGGGTGGGGTCGCTTGTGACCTTTCCACATCCGCTAGCTGTTCCTGAAACGTTTCCACAATCACAAGGCTGGAGAAGTTCCTCAGCCCATGGGACTGAGGAATGAGTCAGAAGAGCATGAGCTACAGCGAACTGGCCTGGCCTCCTCCTTGGCGGCAACAATCAGACACCACCCTCTGCTTCCTGCCTCCCAAGAGCCACCTCTTTGGGGATAGGAGCCCAGTGGGTGCGACTTCTTCAGTGGCCCCTTAGCTAAGCCCTTTCCTCAGGCCTGTTGCATCAGGTGCTCCTTCAGGAGCTTCCGAGTAGAGGAGAAGCTGCAGAAAGTCACCGCATCCTGGAAAAAAAATCCTTCAGCTTTGTAGCACTCTGCAGTGTCAAAGCACACGTTCTCTAGCCTGGCTGAACACCTACTGTGTGCCAGGCACTGAGCCAGGCAAACATGGATGAGGCAGTGCATTTTAATTTTTTTTATTTGGGGGGTGGGGAGCGAGAGCAAGCAGGGGGAGTGCAGGCAGAGGGAGAGGGAGAAGCAGACTCCCCGCTAAGCGGGGCTTGACCCCAGGACCCTGGGATCATGACCTGAGCCAAAGGCAGATGCTTAACTGACTGAGCCACCCAGTGCATTTTTAAAAGGAGCTTTCAAGCGGCCCTCTTGGTGCAGTGGGCAGCGCGTCAGTCTCATAAAAGGAGCTTTCAATCCAGTAGTAGAAAATAGAAAGCAGTACCTCCGCTTTGGGTAGGATGAGGTGGGTACTCTAAAGAAGGGGTCATATTCCCAACACTGCTCAGCCAGGGGGGAAGGCAGGGAAGTCAGGAAAAGCTTTATGGAGGGAAATTGTAGGAGTGGAAATCTTGAGTGGTAGGACAGGTTTCAAAGGTAGAAATAGGTGTAGAGCTGTTTGGGCCCACAGACCTCCTCTTACCCGAGTAAGTCATCCAGTCTCATGTCTGGCAAGTAGCAGTAACAAAAATAGGGACTAACACTTACCGAGCACTTAGTACGGATCAAGAATGGTTTTTGTTCCTCTGGAGTATCCTTCAGGTACCTAACTGAGAAGTGTCATCTTCCCTTATCAAAAGAAAGCCAGCAGCCTCTGGGGTTGCGCTGGGTGTCCCTATGAAGGAACAGTTGGGCCTTTAGAACCAGATATCTGTTCCTTAGGTTCCCATTCCCCTGACCACTGTGACTAGCCCTGCAGCCACTCCTGGGGAGCAGAGCACCTGTATCCCCCTCCCTGCCCCTTGATGCCCCCAAAGAATGCACCAATGAGTGTTCCCTTGTTCAAAATTAGCACAAGGCTAGGGGCACATGGCTGGCTGAGTCAGAAGAGCGTGCGACTGTTGACCTCAGGGTGGTAAGTTGGAGCCCCATATTGGGTATAGACATTTTTAAAAAAATAAAATAATAAACTTTAAAAAAATCAGCATAAGACTAGTGAGTCAAGCAAGGCTTTGGTAAAGGCAGGAGATCACAGGAACTACATTTGTGGTTCATCTCACCTACACAACACCAATACCCATGTGCAGCTCAGGGCCTAGACATGGCTCTCTTCTTGCCCGGCCTCCAGCCTCCCTTCATGGTCCTTGGAGTTCCCATGTCCTGAGGTCGACTTCATGGGTGACCAACACCGTGAATAACTTCCCTCTTCAGAAAAACCTCCCTACGCACCGGGTGATGTACCCGCAGGCCTGAACAGGATGACCATCTGCCAATGCCGTGAATGGCTTCCGGGCGTGCCTCTAACTCAGTCTGAAAACCTCCCTGCTGCAGACGGACTGGGGGCTGCAGCGCCACCGCCCAGTCGGAATTCCAAGCATGAGTGTGGGAGCCACTGATCCTCCTTCCTTTCCTTCCTCCTCTGCCTTCACCAGGCATTTTCCAAGTCCTATAATTCTACCTCTTTAATCTTTACCAAGGGGTGCCCGGCTGGCTCAGTCGCTGGAGTGTGCAACTCTTGATCTCAGAACTGTGGGTTGTGAGTTTGAGCCCCAAGTTGGTTGTAGAGATTACTTAAAAACAATCTTTAAGACTTAATAATATTTGCGGGGCGCCTGGGTGGCTCAATTGGTTGAGCGGCTGCCTTCGGCTCAGGTCATGATCCCAGGGTCCTGGGATCGAGTCCCACATAGGGCTCCCTGCTCCGCGGGAAGCCTGCTTCTCCCTGTCCCTCTCCCCCTGCTTGTGTTCCCTCTCTCGCTGTGTCTCTCTCTGTCAAATAAATAAATAAATAATCTTTAAAAATAAAATAAAATTTAATAATATTTGCTAAATTCACCCTCTCACTTGTAAAGGATCCTGACTGGTCCTCCCACGCCATGCCTCCGCGTCCCCCCCACTGGCCCTCCCGCTGGTCCTCCACACCACTGTGGGAAGGAGCTTGCGCTGGCAGGAGCTTTCTGAAATGCGGATCTGACCAAGTCCCTCTTCTACTTAAAATCCATTTGAAGACCAAACATCTGCAGAATAAAGCCCAAGCCATGGCAATAAGGCCCTTCACGGTGAGGCTTCTGCCTCCCTCCTCTGCTTTCTCTACTGTTCCCTTGACCTGCAGCACAACCTGAGGTCTCCTGAGCACACCACATGCTCTTCCTGCCAGCAGGAATGTCTTCCCTGTCCATGTTGGCCCAGGAACACCTACTGTCTTCAAACCCAGGAGCCCCCCCTGGCGTCGCCTAGCTTGGCTCTGGGTGTGCCTGAAGTCTGATCCCGCAGTGCACTCATCTCCTTCCTATGTGACATTTACCGCAGACCGCTGACTCAAGGGTCAGCTGTTGCTTCACTTGGCTCTTGTCTAAGCAGCTTGTCTAAGCTGAAACAGGCTTCTCTCTGTTTCCAGGGCCTCACAGAGGGTTCCCACAGAGTAGGTGCTTAATGCGCGTTTGCTGCATTTCGGACGGAAAGAGAGCAGGAGCAGAGAACCGAATGACCTGTCAGGATGCGGAGTGGGCTGCCTGGCTGGTCTAGGGCCCAGGGGATGCGCCGCAGGACACAGACGAAGCCTGAACAGGAGGAGGTTGTGTTGACTCTTTGAAGGCCCTGGGAGCCAAGCCGGGGAGTTTGGATGCTGCCATGTCAGATGAGCAGAGCTGCCCCCCGGTGGGGAGGACGGGCCGGGGAAGGGCAGGCCTACAGCCGCTCGGGGAGACTGCCCACGGCCGGCCGCACAGCCGCGCAGGGGCAGAACCCGCGGGCCAACCAGTTCCGGACTACATCCCGTGCAGAGATCTCGGCGCCCCCCGCAGGGGCGCAGCAGTGAACAGGGCTCCCAGGTTGGCGGCTGTGGGTGGGCCCCCCATCAGTCTGGAGAGGCGAGGCTCTGTCGCAGACACCGTCTCTGTGGAGATCTCTGTGAATCTCTGGGGCTTATTTTCTGTTCACACGAAGTCCACGGTGCTAACACCTGGAGGCAGCTTAGCGACCCGGGCCCTCTGATGGCTTCGGCCACTCACACAGCAGGGACAGCACTCGGACAGCCACGCACCAGTTTGCTCTCGGGAGGGACGCGCCTGACTTGCCCCGACAGTGCCTTGGCCAGAACCGGTCCGCTGACCCGGCATGCCGACTCGGTGACTGGGAAGCAATGCGCACGTGCGGGAAGGGGAAGAGGACAGAAGTACCAGTGGGCAACAGTAACGCCCACCCAGCACACAGAGCAGGGACAGAGATCGAGGGACAAGGGAGGGGGGTTCTGCTGGGGATTCGGTGTCGCGTCAGGGCGCCTCACGGGCACGGGGGCGTCCCGCGAGTGGGGGCGCCCTGGCCGTGTCTGGGGAGGCGTGGCCCTCTATGGAAGGCTGTGGATGGGAGGCCTCTCCTCAGAGCTGCTTCCGTGCCACAGCGTGGCCCCTGGCGTCCCCCAAAACGATGAGAGGGACCCCGCCGCAGAAGTGCCCTGCCTTCCGCCCTGCCGGCCGGGCTTCCTTGCACACACGTGCCCACCACGCGTCGGTGTGAGGGAGGACCCCGCCAGGGCCAGGCTGGGGTACCCGGAGGCCGTCTCTCCAAGGGGCGAGCGCAGGGCAGCCGGGGCGGGGGCGCATCTGGAGGACGGGGAAGCCCTTCTGCGCCTCCTTTCTCTCTGCCGCAGCTGAGGGAGCAGCGAGGTGCGGCCCGCGGTGGCCCCGGGAGGGAGGCCAGTCCAGATCACTGCATCGTACAGACAGGAAGCCGGGGCGCCAGCACCGGGACTGGCCGACCCCCACGACCCCCACGACCCCCACCACCCCGACGCGGTGAGCACGACCCCGCCACGGGGGGGACTTCCCGCACTTGGAGACGCCCCCGCGTCCCTCTGTGCTTCAGCAGCGCCGGCCTGTGCACACCCTGCTGGGGCCGAGCCAGACGCCGCGTTTGACCCTCCGGCAGGGCGGCACCAGGTTGGGGGGCCCTCGGGGGTGCCCTCGGAGAGCAGGGAGAGGCTCCCTGGCACCGTTAAAGCACCCTGAAGGGGTAAGAGGGCGGCCCGCGTCAGCAGGATCCACGGCGAGTTCTTGATGGTGGCTGGAGCCCTGTCCCCCATGACCCTGCTCCTGACCTGGCCTCGGGCACTGCTTCTCTGCCTCTCGCGCTCCAGGACCCCCCGTGTGGCTTCCCCCAGGACAACCCCGGCCCGTGGGGGGCGGCCTCTGCTTCTGACAGCAGCTGGAGGAACCGCTCACCTGAGGCCCGGGAGCACCCCTCACCCCCGCCACCGTGCTGAGCGGACCCTCGGGCCGCCCGGTCCTCTCCTCCGCCAGCCGCGCCCAAGAAACCAGAACCCGAGCCCAAGTATCAGAAACGTGTATTCTTTTTCTTTTAATAGTAAACCTCTTTACAACAAATATAGTGAAAGAGTTTTCAAACAAAACTCATAAGAATCCCGAGGACTTTGTCTTCTTATTGTGTAGAATACTAAGAAAGCATCACCATACAGCACGGAAAGAAATATTGAAAACAAATCAACAGCCACACACTTGGACTCGCCCTGCCCAGGACCCAGGAGCAGCCCCAGGAGTGTGGGTGATTGTCGGGTTTGGGGGGGCACCTCCATGCCTCCCTCCCTCTCCCCCTTCCCTCTGGGACCTGAATGGGGAAGACAAAGAGAATCCAGATTCTCCATAGCACATTCGAGCCCCCTGCCCCCACACAAATCCCACGCCTTCCACCATCGCTTAGGGGGTGGACAGAGGTGGCAGAGGAGAGGACAAGAGTTCCCAGGCTCCAGGTCTCCTCTCCTCTACGAAAGCCTAAATTCACCCCCACCCCACCCCAGGGGATTCCAAAGAGTCAGTTAAAAATATATAGATATAGATATTTCTAGATACACTTTTACATCATTTCTGTCTCTCCAAACAAATAAATAATCATCAAGAGAAGGTGCATTAATTCCTTCCTGTCCAAGGTGGGGAGGGCTGGGTAAAGGTCGGGGGTCAGTCTTGCTGCATCGAGGGCACTGCTGGGGAGGGGGGAATGGTGCGTCCCAGTGGAATGGGAGGGTCCTCTTGCCCACTGTCCCTGGAAGCTGTGGGAAGGCTGGGGAAGGGAGGGGCGTGGGATGACTCCAGTGATTACTTTGGCAAACGCCCAGTTCTCAGGAGGAAGGAGTAGGTGGAGGCAAATTTGGCTTTGCGAGAGGAAGAAATGAAGCCCCCCCACCCCTTGAGGTCTGGGTTCCCAGGGACCCATGCGTCTGGCCAGCCAGGAGCCCCTACCCCCAAGAGAAACCTTGGGATACTGAATTGCAGAAATGTCACATATTCATTCACAGACCCACCCCCTGCCCCCAGGGAGAGAGGAAGGACACACACACACACACACACACACACACGGTAATCAAAAGCCAGGTTTGCCATTACAAGGCAGAGGGCAAAACTGGTGAATATTGCACCGTGAACCGCAGGGGCTCTCGTCCCCACCGTGTGTCTAGTGGCGGCCAAGCCCAGCTTCCAAAGGTGGGCGACTGCTGCCAGGAACAGCCTGAGAAGGGAAAGCCAGTCACTCGAGCTTTATTGAGCACCTATCGCTCACCCATTCGGCATTTACCGTGCACCAAGTAGGTGCCAGACGCTGGGCAAGGCTCTGGGGATGCACGCGTGCGCAAGCCTATATACCCTGGCGCACTTCGAGGCCCTGATCGAGTCTCGTCGACTCTTCAAACTCCCTCTAGGAACCCACGGAGTAGGTTGGGACATGCTGTGTGCCCAATCAGCAGGTGGGGCTTAAACTCTGAGTAAGGAAGGGTCACGGCCCAAAGAAGAAGCTTCAAGAAGGAAGAGAATCATGAGTGTCACCCTGAAAGCAGGACTGGGGTGGGGGAAGAGCAGGAAGGGCGGCTGCGTGTGTGCAAAGGACCAGGGACCGGGTGGCCACTTGTGTGTGGAGCCCAGGAGAGGCAGGGCCCCAGCGAGAGGCAAAGGGGGCAACTGCCGGATCCCCCCAGCTGTGGTCCAAACCTGTCAAAGCGGAGGGTGGACTGGGGCAGGGGCCAAGCTGGAGCTGGAAGCCAGGGCTGTGCGGCCCAGCGGCCACTGTCCCTCCGCAAACGCCAGGCACGTGCACACACAGACATGCCCTCGGAGCTCGATTCACACAGATCCGTGGATAGGCCCAGATGGGCTCAGAGACACACACCGGTACGTCCACGCCCCCATACACACACACAGATACCGGATGCCCTCACGAACACGCTCAGGTGCACGTGTGGTCACATACACCCCTGCTTCTGGTTCCCTCCCTGCGTCAAGTGTCGGGATACTGCAAGCGGCTGGGTCGCAGAGGCAGGACCGCAAAGCTGGGCCTTGTCTACCGTCTGCTGTCCTACTGGGATGACGCCCCCAGGGAGCGCTGCGTCCCTGGGGCAGAGGAGCTGGGTGCAGGGGAAGGACTGGGGCAGACCCCCTGTCCACCTGCACACGCCACCTGCCCACCCGGGTGGCAGGCTGGGGGCCTGCCCCCCCGCGTCTGATCTGGGGTCCAGCCTGAGGTCCCAGCAGAGAGGGGCGGGGCGGGGAGCAAGAACAACAGCAGAAGAGTCTCATCTGTACAGTACGGGCCGCTTGAGTCGTTATTATTACAATATACTTTGACAAAAATAGAATCTCATTTCATATCAATACAACAACAACAAAAAAAACAGTTTCCTGGACTGTTACACTGCTAACGTTTTCCAAAGGTTGCTATTTACAGTTACAGTAGCCAAGAGGGAAGGTGGGCTGCCGGGGGTGGTGGGGCAGGAGGTAGCCGACCAGGGAGGTGGGGTCGGGGCGGGAGGAGCGGGGAGGGGGCTGGGGAGGGCCCAGGAGGAAAGGAGGCAGGCGGGCCTCCCACCCTCACGCCACCCCAGTGTCCCTCCTTTGGGGATGTGTCCGTGCAAGGAAGAGAGAGCCCCCACTCCCACGTGCCCCTGGACGCCGGGGCGCCAGTCCTGCTGAGCTGTTCCCTCCCCTGCCCGCCGTCCTCCCTGCACTTTGTGGCCTGCTTTCGGGGGCTGGTGTCAGCCCAGGGACGGGGAGCTATTGCACTGTATATCTTAGAGAAACTACCAGGGACAGAAGGGGGCCCCGAGTCACCCCTCACCCTGGCTCTCGGCCCCTCCTCATGGCTCTCCGTCTTTCTCTCCAAATGTGCTTCCGAGGGGCCCCCTACCTCAAACCCTGCCCCCGGCCTCCGAATCCCAGGCAGCCTTCCCAGCCCAGAGGCTCGGCCAGCACCCCCACACCTTGGGGGTGCAGCTCATGCATGAATCCGTGAGAGTGCTGTGTGTGTGCAGGGGCACTGGGGGGCCAAGCTTGGGCATTTCACCCCATGTGCCTGTGGCCACGGGAATAGCCCAGACGCAGAGACCCTTTTCAGAACCTGGGCTCACTTGCCCCCTGAAACACAAACCCACCACCCATCAGGCCGACTTTGGGGTTTCAGTATATTATAAGGGGTTTTGTGGCCTGGTAGGTTTTTTGGTTATCTCCCTCTATCTGGGGGTGGGGTGGGAGGGCTCTGCATGCAGGGCTCGGCACCCGTCCTGTCCCAAGGGCCTGTCGGGCTCCCCACCCCCTCCTGCAGCATATGTGTACAACGTGCAAAGTGTCCCCCTTCCCGCAAAAAAGAGCCCCCCCAGCCAGTAAAATGGCGGGGGGTGCAGAAAGAGGGGACAGGAGCATCCTCCTCTCCAAAGCGAGAATCCAAATTAAAAAAAATATAATAATAATAATAATAATAATATAATAATTATACACAAATGTAACCGTCAACAGGACACGGAGCACAAAAGGAAGTGGGGGTCGAGCGGGAGGAGCCCAGGGCCAGGAGGGGTGGGCGGTGAGATTGTCAACTCTTCATCAGGGAGGCTGAGAGGAGGGGGCTGGGAATCGTCACTTTAATGTCTGCAGAGAGAGGAGATGGAGAGCGGGGTGTCAGGGCCCTGGCCGCGGGCTGGGCGTCCCCCACGCCCCTCTCCCCACAGGGCCAGGGCCTGCAGCGGGGGGGGGGGGGGGGGGGGGGGTGCGGAGGTGGCCCAGAGGCCTCCCGGGTGGGGGCTCAGGGTGAGGGCGGTCCCGGGGTACAGCACACACTGGCGGGCGGGAAGGGTGACGCTACAGTACCCAGGTGTCGAGCCGCATCCTCTTCACAGCAGGGCCCTCAGCCTCGGGCTCCTGGGCTGGGCGCAGCAGGCCCAGCGTGGGCCCGAAGTCCCCCCGTCCGTCGTCCCGGTCCCCGGTCTCGTAGGAGCTGCTGGCCGGGCTGCTGAGGCCATCGCCAGGCTCCGGGCGGGCGGCCGCTGGGAACACAGCTGGAGGGGGCGGCGCGGGGCTGCGCTCGCGGCTAGGGGACACCGGCTCCGACTTGATGCTGATGTGGGGGTGGGTGGTGACTGTGAGGGCAGCCCCCACGTGAGGCAGAGGGCTGCCCGGGCTGGGCACCGGGACAGAAGCAGAGGAGGTGCGGGACACAGAAGGGATGGGGGGCCCGGGAGGGAGAGGGAGGAGGTGGGGCGGGGAGGGACACGGACAGAGAGGAGCCGGGAGGAGAGGGGCCAAGTGAGGGAAGAGGGGAAAGAAGGGAAGGAGCCACGTTAGTTTTCTGTACCCGTGTCCCCCACGGCATCCTGGTGCTCAGGGCTGGCTGGGGAGGGGCTCCGGGGGGAGGGGCTCCCAGGCCGCCGTAGTATCCCATGTCCCGTGCTGTCCACTGGTGACAGAGCACCTCAAGGGGGCCACCCCGCTCCCTCCCGACAGGAGCCTCCTCTTCCCACCCTCAGCTCTGCCTTCCCCAAGCCTCCCGCGCCCCCCCCCACCGCAGCGCCCCAGGACTCACATCAGGCTGCTGAGAGACACGGGGACCAGATGGGGCTGCGGCTGGGGCGGCTGCTGGGGCTGCTGGGGCGGCGGCTGGGGCGGCTGGGGCGGCTGCGGCTGGGGCGGCTGGGGCGGCTGCGCAGGCTGAGGCCAGGCGGTGACACTGCCTAGCGACAGCCCCCCGGGCGAGCTGAAGGTTGGGAGGGAGGAGAGCTCGGCACTGCTCAGCTGGTAATCTGCAGGGGTGGGGGGTGAGAGGAAGGACGGACTCAGCAGGGCCCCCCAGCGCAGGGCCCCCCGCTAAGGGAACGCACGGCGACGCAGGCAGCAGGTGCTGCTTCTCAGCAGGATGAAGAGAGGTGCGTTTTTAAAGTAGTGTTAACTTTCTTTTTTGGTACCACGTGTAGATACCACTCTCAGAACGTCAACTCAAAAAAGAAGGGGAAAGAAGTCAGGAGGGTCTAGGGCGCCTGGGTGGCTCAGTCGGTTAAGTGTCTGCCTTCCGCTCAGTCATGATCCCAGGGTCCTGGGATCGAGCCCCACATCGGGTTCCCTGCTCTGCGGGAAGCCTGCTTCTCCCTCTCCCACTCCCCCTGCTTGTGTTCCTGTTCTCGCTGTGTCTCTCTCTGTCAAATAAATAAATAAAATCTTCAAAAAAAAAAAGAAGTCAGGAGGGTCTAACACACGTCTGTCATCTCTTCAACTGCCAGGTCCTTTCTGAGACAGGGGCGTTGTGGGGCCGCGAGAGGGATGGCGCACGGAGGCTAAGTGCCGTCACCACCCTGCGGCTCGTCTCGAGACCGTCAGCGCGGCAAGGGTTCGAGCCGCCGTGCCCGCACACCAACCCGGCGGACGGACGCGCGTGTGCCCCTGCTGGGCCTGCAGAGCCTCGTGGGGCCCAGCGCGCCGGGCCAGGATTCTGGCACATTCCCCGCGAGGCGGTGCCCCTTGCTCTCGACCATTCCCGTCTCAATGTAAGAAGCTGATGTTTGCACAACCAACACCACGCTGGGGTGTTCCAGGCTGCAGCCAGTCTCGGGCAGCTTAGTAAAGGTCCCCCGAGGAGCCCAGGGCGCTGGCGCTGTGGGGGCGCACGGGCACACCCCGCGTGGTCCCACCACCGAGCTCACTCAAGGGACCGCGGGCTGCAGCTCCCGTCTCTGCAGGGACGACGGCACCGCCGCGCAACCGAGCAGGAAGGTGCAGGGCAAGGGCGAGGCCTCCCGAGGCCCCGTGACCCGGGGGCAAGCGGCAGCGGGCGGAGGCAGAGGGATCCCGCCTGGATCACACTCAGCCGCGAGACCGCGGAGCGGCGAACGCACACGGGGCACGCACAACCGCGTCTGGCACGCGGGATGTTTCTGAAGGCTGGCCTGGCACTGTCACTAATTCACAAACGAGGCAACCGCAGCCTCCAGCGTGGGGAGCCCCGGGTCCCAGAGCCAGTGGAGGAGCTAAGACAAGGCCCCAGGCTCCTCGCTCACCCGTAAGCCTGGCCTACAGATGGTCCCTGCTTGCCTCTGGCCTCACATTAGCCAGCAGCTTTGAGCCATTCTTAGAAAAAGCAGAGCGGGGCACCTGGGTGGCTCAGTTGGTTAAGCGACTGCCTTCGGCTCAGGTCACGATCCCAGGGTCCTGGGGTCGAGCCCCGCATCGGGCTCCTTGCTCACGGGGAGCCTGCTTCTCCCTCTCCCACTTCCCCTGCTTATGTTCCCTCTCTCACTGTCTCTCTCGGTCAAAGAAAGAAAGAAAGAAAGAAAGAAAGAAAGAAAGAAAGAAAGAAAGAAAAAAAAGGAAAGCGAGGGCAGGAAGGAGCCCCTCGGACTCATTTTACAGACAAGGATGCCCACGCTCGAAGAGCGTACAACCTCGCCCGCCACCCCTCTGCAGCCGAGGGGCAGGGGCTCCCGCACGTTGCCACCACACTCCAGCCCCGTCTACGCGGAGGCCCGGGGCGTCCTGGACGGGAGGACGTGGCCCACAGGCCGCCTGGCAGCCCACCCACAGCCATCAGACCTCTGCAGCCAGTGTCAGCAGGGGCCCAGGCCCGTCCCTTACCCAGGACGTCACCAGAGCCACATCGCCCGCAGCCGGAACTTGGACCGGGGCCAAGGACTGCGAGCGGTGAACAGCGAAACAGCAGTGTGTTGTTTATGTATGTAGGGGCACCCGAACACACCCGCTGTCGAAACTGAGGCCTGCTGACAGACTACAGCAGCAGGACGAACCGGAGCCCCGGCTCCTGGGAGGATGTGAGGAAGCCCACACTTCCCAGCAGGGCCCCAAGGGCAGGCCCAGGGTCAGAACCTGCTTTCACACCAGACTGACAAAACAGTCTAAAGTCTGGCCTTGCCGGGCGCCTGTCCCAGCTTCACGGACGCCCGCCAACCTCCCCTCCTGCTTCAAGAGACTTGCAAGGGCCAGAGAGGATGGCAGGAAACCACCACCACATTTTGGGATTCCCAAACACGGTGGCTCCTGAACAGTGGTCTGTGCTGCCCTCTGCCAAACTCCCCGCCTGCCCACGACTCTCCCAGAGGACACTGGCCCCCAGGGGCACGGTCACTGAGGCGGCCCGAGGACCCCATGCATGAACGGGACGAGGGACTGCCCGCACCACACCTGGGTGGGAAAACCTGGACGGGGACACGCACGGCGGGGTCTGGCCCCTCTCCACAGTGGGGCAGCTCCAGCTCTTTCCTGCCCCCAGGGCTTCCCTGTGTCTGAGCCTGGGCTCTAGATTTTTACCCACGGAAGAGGTAGGATCGTGAGAGGATCTGTATGGGTGTCTGGAATGGAGGCTTGGGGAGGAGGAAGAAGTTTAGGGACCTTTTGATCTAGTCTGATCTCATCACAAACAGCCCCAGCACCAGCCAGTCAGGGGTGAGGGACCGTGAGGGGTGGCTGAGGTCTCGGCAGTGGGATTTCCCCACGGGGAAGTCCTTCCTGACACGACAGCGTGGAGTGCGGGCCAGGATGGCCCAGAGTGTCACTGACTGGTCCTGGGAGGGGCAGTGGGTACCCAGGACGGCCTGGGCACTGGGTGTCCTGTCTGAATTCTTCGACCCAGACACCTCTCCCGTGTCTGAGCAGCTCTCCACCTTCACACCCCTCCCCGACCTTCATCGGTCCCCCCACTCCTCTCCCCTCCCCATCAGCCCGCCATGGAGCCACCACCAGGGTGAGGGGCCCTGTCCTCCCTCTCCCCCCTGCCCCTCTTGGCTTTCCCGGGAGGCTGGGTAAACCTTCCTGACAGGCTTTCTCTCTCTGGCCTCCTCTACCTGTCTTCTCTCCCTTACTCCCTCCTCCTCTTCCTCCTCCAGGAAGCCTTGCTGAACCGACCATGCCCCCTCCTCTCCCCCCAGCCCTGGGCTGCTGGAATCATCTGCTCAGCCCACCTCTGGCCCGGCTCCTCCTCAGTCCCTAAGGGCGGGGACTCTTCTCCATTAGGTCCTATATTAAAAATGGGGAATACCTACTTATTAATTTGAATTTCAGACAAAACAATGAATAATTTTTCAACATTTCAGCAGAAGAACGTCTTTGACGCATACTTATCCTGAAAAATTATTCATGGTTTTATTTGAAATTCACATTTCAGTGGGCATCCTGTTTCTATTTGCTGGCGACCTCCATCAGGTGGGGGCTCCCCGCAATCCACTGGAGCATCCCCCAGGACTATCTCCTGCTCCCCCCTCTGGTCCCGCCCCGCCCCAAGGCCAAGCAGCTACAGGGGGGCTGAGGGGCTTGAGGACTCACCTGTATTGTAGGCAGTGGGCATGGAGGAGAAGGGGAGGCCCTGGCTGAGTAAACTCGGTGTTGCCACGGAAACCACTGGCGTGGTGAGTGAGTGGGTAGACTGGGAGGCCCCAAGGCGCTGGGCATTGTTCTGCAGGAGGAAAGGGTCTGTCACCAGGCGGCAGGAGGGTGGCTGCGTTCCCCTGGCCCTCCACCGCAAGGCCCAGCCGGGGCCCCTGCCCCCCATGGCCCAGGGGGCACGGCTGGGCACAGAGGCGCCCGCAGACACACACGAGCGCTGGTGCATTCCCCGAGCGGCTGCGAGCGGGAGGGGGGCGTGCACACGTGCATGGAGGGCAGCACGCCGCCCCGGGGCCGAGCGAGGCAGGCCCGGGGCCTTCCCCCGTCCCGGGGCAGTGCGCGCCCTGCCAGAGCACGCCGGCATGCGTGCGGGCAGCGAGGGGCCCGGTGCGGTGTGTGCCTGCGTGTGCACACACGTGTGTGGGGCTGTCGGCTCCATCTGCCGCTGAGTCACTTGTTTATTCCAGCTCCGCGCTGGGGCCGAAACTGCCGCCGTGTTGGCCGCCAAGCCCGCCTGCCTTTTCCAGCCTCTCTGGCCGCCCGTCAGGGAGCTGGGGAGGGAGGAGCCCCCGCCCCACTCCTGGCTGAGGGTGAGTACGCGAGTGTGACAGCGCGTGCGCGGCGGCATGTGTCTGAGCGCGTGTGAGGCGGGCTGTGCGGGGCTGAGCACACGGGGAGGCAGAGAGGCGGCGGCGAGCCCCGGCCACGGCAGCTCCGGCCTCTCCTTGGGCCTCAGCCGCCTCGGGGGCCGTGCGGTCCCGGTCTGGCTGGCTCTCCTCCTAAGGAGGCCCCTGCCCCGGGTTCCAAGCATGCTCAGTGGGGCTGAGCCGGAGGGCAAGTCCGGTCCAGCCCCCCGAACGCAGGCACCCTGGGCCACATCCAGACGGGGCCCCTGAGGCCTGGGGCTGGCCCCCGCGGCATGCACATGCGTGCGCGCCCACACACACGCAGAGGAGGGTGTGTCTGCGTGAACACAGCGTCCCATAAAGACGTCCCCGTACACACCGCTACACACATGCATATCTAACCCCCGCCCCCCGCCCCATTCACCTCTGTACCCCGTTTGGCACTGAGCTCGGCTCCTGGCCCATAACCAAACAACACACACCACGCCCGCTGGGGGAGGGACGGGGCGCGCTCCATGCTGTGGCGCAGAGCCATGGGCGGACCCAGGCTTTCAAGCCACCGCACACGTCTCGGGGCCTCACTTACCAGATCTAAATGGTCCTCAGTCTGGGAGCGGAAATAAAACCAAGGGGGCGGTTCAGTCTGCAGCCTCTGCCCTCCCCTCACACCCCGGGCCCCACAGCTGCCCCACCTAGCTCTTCACACACGAGCAGGACGGCTGTCCAGCCTGGGACAGAGCTCTTCCCCGTCCCGACTGACTCCAGAACATGCCACATCCCAACATGCACCCGTTAGGAAACCTGCATCCTTCCGCTGTGGTGGCAAATCCCTCCCGTCCTCCTCCCCAGCACGGAACCTCCTCTCCCACCTCCCGTCCCTTCCCCCTGCCCTCGCGGCTGGCACGTCCACGTTCCCACCTCTCACGAGGCCCTCTGGGGAGAAAGAGCTCGCGAGCAGTCCGGCTTCTACGGTCTCCCTCCGGCAGTCCCACCTATTAGCTAGCCTGCATCTCTCCTGCTGGAGGTCGGCTCTTCCCCAGCCCCGGCCCCTGCCCCTCAGGGCAGACACCCACTCACCAAGTGATGCATCAACCCCTTTCCTCCCTGCGAAGTGATGACCCTCAGGTCGGGCTTGCGGCTGGGGGCTCCATGCTGGGCGCTGTGGGTGGGCGGGGGTGGGGACTTGGCAGGGATGCCCTTGTTGAGACTGTTGCCGTTGGCCACGGGGAGGAGACCGGGGGAAGCCCGGGCACTGACGTAGCCATTTCCTGAGAGGAGGAGATGGGGTCACAGGTCAGACACGGACCCAGCCCCCAGCCCGCGTGCCAGGACTCCATACTCAGACTCTTAGCTTCGCCAAAGACCACCCTGTCCTGGGAGAAGGGCGGAAGCCCCCTCACTCAGGAATCACTGGTTATTCCCCTGCCTCTAAGCGACGTGTGCCGGAGCAGGGGTGGGGGGCCGCGGGAGCTGGACGCCGCAGTGGCCTCGCCTCGCCCCCTTCCCTCCCTCCGGTCTCACAGACAGGGCGTCCAGCACCTTCCAACCCCACAACCTGCCCCGACCGATCCCAGGGACCCGGCTGCAGACGGGGAGGGCAGCCTGGGACTTGGGCCTCCATGAGGACCCCCAAGGCACCTCGACCACTCAGACTGCAGCTCTGGCCAGGAGACGGGGGCCCACGACAGGATGCCCGCGGCTCTGGGGAAGATGAGCCATCCGCCGGTGGTGGTGCTGTCACTGGTCACAGGGGCCCGATAACACAGCCACCACCACGACGAGACCTGCGTGTCGTAACGACCTTGCGCATCTGCGCCACGATCCACACAGGGCCTCCACGTGCGCACGATCTCATTTAACCCTCACGCTAACTGTGCGGCGAGGCAGACGGGACGTGGGTCAGCCCCGGTCACAAAACAGCAAACTCGAGGCCTGGCTGGCAGAGGCACAATGACTTGCCCAGGGCGACGCAGCTGGCTGGAGGCCGTGCCAGGCCCCACCCGCGCTCCGCATGCTGGGCCTGAGCGCCTGGAAGGACCGTCACGGCCTGAAGTCTGCAGGTGCTTCTCCAGCCCTCCGCAGAGAGGAAAGGGCGGCCACCATCCCTTCCACTCCCCGACCCCGCTGCACAACCACTGCCATGAGGCATTAGGTGGTGCCTGGGGCTGCACTGGGGGTTCTGAAGCCCAGAGAAGCGGGGCCGACCACAGTCCCCAGTGTCACCTTGCTCTGTCCCCTGGGAGCACACTGTTCCCCTGGAAGTGTGGGGCTGCCCTCATCCCAATTCCCGGATCACTCCGGGAATGGCAGGAATGTCAGCGTGACGTCAATGGTGACATTTGAAGTCACAGTCCCCGGCCGGACAACAGCACAGGGCAGGGGAGAGGCCGTCGGCGGCCGGGGGTCTGTGTGGGAGCGCGTCGGCAACACCGTGCACACCCTCCAGATCCCACCCAGATGCGCCCACTCGATGGAGAAGACTTGCATCCTCTCCCCCGGCTGGAGATGTCGGTCCCTTCTTCCAGCTTGCCCAGGAGTCCCTGAGCCCAGATCTCTGATGACTGCCCACACCCATCAGGGCTGCAGACAAGCCTCAGGCTCGACTCGGGCCCTGGGACCTTCCTCCCGTCATTGGGGTCCCTCTTGGTCCCCGGGCCCGCGAAGCCGCTGAGAAGGCAGGCGGGCAGCCGCACTCACCAACAGGGCTGGGGCAGGCTCCGTTAGCACTGTTGAGGTCTCCCCCCAGCATGGCCCCTGGGGACAAACAGAACCACGGTGAGCTGGCAGGACGGCGCCTTCCACGGCAGGTCCCCAGACCGAACAGCGGGAGGAGCCCTGGTCCTTCCCTCAGGAGCCACACGAGCGAGCGGCAGAATGCCGTGTGGGGCGAAGGAAGACGGATCCCCAAGTCCCCAGCACACCTCATCCCCACCTCACCTGCACTGGCCGGCCGCTGGGGCAGGCCCGGAGACACGCTGTTCCTCTGCAGCGCTGGCTGCTGCGGGGACAGGAGCCGCGGGTCCGTGAGGGATGATGTCACCAGGGAAGGGGTGACCAGAGAGCCGCTGGGATTGCTGAACTGCAGGGAGCTCTGACTGGACACGGGCACCGTGACGGGCATGGCAAAGTTGGGGGCCGGCACAGCTGACTAGACAGAGGATGGCGAGGTGGGGTCAGGCTAGGCAACGCCCCCACCCTGGACCCACCGTGCCCGAGAGAGGGCAGGCACGGGTTCCTCTGGTCTCTGGGCTGTGTGTCTGAGGGCCCGCAGCTCGACCTCTCTGCCCCGGGCCCTCTCGGAGGAAGTTCGCTGGAGGGAATGCTTTGGGATCGAGCTCTGGCCCAGAGAACGAGAACAGGCTCTGCTCACGGCAGATGGGACCGGGGACCCCCGAGGCCCCCCGAGGCCCCCCGTGGAGGTGGGTTAGTCCTCAGCCAGGCAGGACACACGGGGAGCAGGTTAGAGGGCCTGAATACAGACCCACGTGCACCCACGCAGCTGGGGAAGGCCTGCACCGAGGGTCTTGGGCCGGGGTGGCCACGTAGGCCCCTGGGGACTCTGCCCCAAGAAGACCTACACAAAGAACACGACCCCTACTCTCCTGCCATCTAAAGCCCTCACGTCATCTACACATGCCTTGCTGGCGAGAGGGGCGCTCTGGGCCTCTCTTGGCCCTGCTCCGTCCGGAAGGAGTCCACAACCCAGGTCAGCGGTGCCTCGGTGGTCACCGCCAGCCCCGCACGGCTCAGCGTGGGACGTGCGTCAGGGGCGGCCGGGGGCCGGCGCGAAGCCACACCATGCACCATGGGGAGACCGCTCCATGCGACTACTCACGGCCAGTCTATAACTCTGCATCATTTTATCAAACTCCTCGTCTATCTTTTTATACTTCTCCTCCGTCTGGGGGGTCAGGGCAAACACCTCGTCCACCTCGGGGCTCTCACACTCCCTGTGCTTCTTGTGCAGCGCCTGGGGGGGCCGGGAGGGGCCGACAGAGACACGGTGGGTGAGCTCACCCCGTAGCGCCGGAAGAGCCCGTCCAGCTCCTCGCTGGCACGCCGGTACTTGTCCTCCAGCAGGGGGCTCTGCTCCAGCGAGTCCTCCCCGTCGGGCTCGGGGCTGTCACAGCCGTTGAAGCCCTTCTTCCTCAGGGTCTGCAACCGCACCAGGCATCAGCCAGCCGTCCGCAGGGCAGGGGCAGGGGCAGGGGCAGGGTCCCCGCCGCCCCCCTACTTTCTCCCCACCTCCTTCTTCTGGGTCCCCAGCATTTCCCGGCCACCCCCCTTCCCCGCCCTGCCGCACCATGTGAACGCGTGCTGGGCGGGGAGTGTTGGGGGCGGGGGGGGCCTCAGGCCAAGGCCCACCGCAGGGAATGTGCAACACACAGCACAGACCCCTGCTTCCGAGGTGGCAGGTGGGGAGGGGTCCTGGGGGGATGGGCTGGGGGCTGAGACCCTGGGGTAGCTCCAGGGGGCAAGGCAGTCCGGGCTGGTGTTGCCCAGCCTGGTCCCTGGGCTCTGCTCACGGGAAGAGGGGGAGAGAAGCAGAGATGGAGACAGAGGGAGAGGAAGGAGGGGGAGAAAGGCCCAGAGGAAACCAGTGTTTACAGAGCTCCTGCTGCCGTCCTTGCCCAGGGGTCCACGCCACATTGGGGCACTCTTGGTAGGTCTGGAGTAGACCCCAAACTTCCCTCTTCCTGCTCAAAACACCTTCACAGATACTCGGTCTGCTTTTAGAATGAGTAACAAATGTACGTTTTCCATTCCAGTCTAGAGTAAATCTGTTTTCCCTATTATAAAGCTAAGGTAACTTCCTCCAAATCTTGGAGTTCGAGTCCCTCTCCGGGAAGGCAAGCCTGTGGCTTCCCGGGCACCAGCCTCCCTGGCAGAAGTTCTGTTCCCCTGAAAGCACGCACACCCCCGTGTGAGAAGCAAGAACCGGGCTGTCTTGTTCAGGTCCCACCACACCCTCCAAAGCTCACGCTGGCCCCATTTTGTGGAGGTAGGCACCATGGCCCAAGGCCATGTGGCCACTAAAGGCCACCACTGGATTCCAAAGCCCATGTCCTTCAACAGCCTGTAATGCTTTTTTCGAAACAGAAAATTGAGCCCCAGGGATCCATAAAGGGACAGAGGCAGAGCAGGAGAGATGGAAACAAAGAGGGAGACAGAGACAGAGAGTCAGAAGCAGGAACAGACCAAGGATGGACAAGGAGAGAAAAAGACAGAGAGAGAACCGGAGGGAAGACAGAGCAGAGGATGTCCCGCCAGCCTGACAAGCATGAGCAAAGACGCAGCGGGCTGGGTGGACACTGGACTGGGTGGGCAGCGGGCTGGGGTGGGGAGCGGGCCAGGGTGGGCAATGGGCTGGGGGATGGGCACCGGGCCGGGATGGGCAGCGGGCCGGCGGGAAACGACACCAAGCTGGGTGGGCAGCGGGCCGGGGCGGACACCGGGCCGGGGCGGGCACCAGACTGGGTGGGGAGCGGGCCGGGGTGGGCACCGGGCTGGGGGGTGGGCACCGGGCCGGGTGGGCGTGCACGTGCTGCGTGGGCCCACCTCGATGATGTCGGCGTTGGTGCGGCTCTCGTGCGGCTCGTTGTACTCCGTGTACTTGAGCAGCACCTTGTCCATGTCGGTGCTCGCATACTGGAACAGCTTGTTGGAGTGGTTGAAGATGATGAGCGCGATCTCACAGTCACAGAGCACGCTCAGCTCGTACGCCTTCTTCATCAGTCCGAACTTGCGCTTGGTGAATGTCACCTGCAGGCGGTGGAGGGGGGCGGCCCGGTCTGGCTCAGTCAAAGCCCGTCCCGGAGCCCCTGGCCCGGGGAGAGACAGGCCAGCACCTCTCTGCCAACGTACGGCCAAGATGCAGCCTAGAGCGGCCTCACTGAAGGGAGAGGATGGATGGACAGAATTCCACACCTCTGTGCCAGGGGCTGTGAAGGGGTCGGGAAGGAAAACAGAAGGGCTTCCTGGATCCTCCCCTGGGGGAGAATGAGGGGGAGAATTCATCTTGGGGAACAGGGCATGCCCAGGCATGGCCTGAGGCTTATGTATGGTTCCTGGGTGGGAAGTGGATGGGGGTTGGGGGTGGGGGACACACAGATGCACCTTCTTACAGCAGCAGATAAGCCTTAGAGTTCTGGGGTACAGAGCTCCAAGAGCTGCAGGGAGGTGGGGGTTCCTCTCTTCCCAACTCAGTCCTTCCCCTTCCATAATAGCCTTTAGAGGCCCCCTCCTCCAGGAAGCCCTCTTGGACTGGCAGGAAGGAGTGGAGGCAGAGGCCAGCTCGCTGCCCTCACCCACTCTACGTAGCTCCAAGACCTCCTCACCTGTCGGTTCCGCTCATCAGTGATTCGCTGGATCTGAATCTTTTTCCTCCCCATCTTCTCTGGGGATCCTCAGCGCTAGGGAGGGGAGGGGATTGCTGGGTGGCAGGTCTCGGCACGCCTCACACTGTGCTCATGAACGGCCTGGAACCAGGGCTCAGTTCATGGTCTGCAGGACACCTTCTGCACAGCGTCCTGGGAAAGGGGGGTCATGAGAGGACCGTCAGCCCCGGTGACCACCAGCACACAGGCCAGGCTCACAGCACCCCTGGGGCAGGCTGAAGGTGTCCACCCCATCCTCAAGATGAGGAGACAGGGGTGCCCTGAGCCAACGGCATGCCACGGACAGGCACAAGTGGGCACTGACACCCAGGGCCCAGGCCCTGGTCCAGGCTCTTTCCGCACCAACTCTGCCGCTCTCGGGTTCTAGATCACGCAGAGCTGGCTTCCAACGGTCTCGGTCCTGGAGAACGCCCCAGGCCCTTTCCTCTCCCCAGAATCTGCCTGCAGTAGAGACATCTGGGTCTGCCAGCTGCCCCTCTGGCCTAGGATGGAACTTTTGGTCCTGGCGCCCGGTGCGGAGAGCACCCACCGAGGCCACACACGGTTTCCACGGGGTACCTGGTGCCAGGAGGGGCGTGCTCTGGTGGCCGGGGCTCAGGAACACAGGGAAGGCTAGAGCCTGGGGGCCCAGAGCTCTCCCTCGCCCCCCAGGGCTGCTCCACACCCATTTCACTCGGTGGGCCTCCACCTCAAAGTTTTGTTTGAAGAGACGGTTCCGCTGCTTAAAATAAATAAATAAACACACCACCCTTGCAGAGCAGAGTCTGCGAACTTTTTCAGTAAGGGGGTCGATGACTATTTCGGGCCTTGCGGGCCATTCGCTCTGGACAACTCCTCGACGGCTGCTGCCGACAGCACGTAAACACGGAAGGCTGGCGGAGCTCCGCTACAACCAGATCTGTAACAGCCGGCCCCGAGGTCACGGTCGGCCGACTCCCGCTCGGGGGACGCGCCCGTGCAGGACCCGAGCTCAGGCTGGGCAGCCCTTCCCAGCCCGGTTCACCTTGAAGCCCGGAGCACGTACTGAGCCACTGGCGTGGCAGCTGGGCGGAGGCAGGCGCCAGGCAGAGGCCTCCCCACCTCATGCACCCATAAACGGGCCAGGCTTCACAACCAGGACGGGCGCCAGAGCCCCCACACCACACGAGTCCAGGATGGGAGGGCGCGTGGGGTCGGAAGCCCAGCCTGACCCAGGAAATGCCCGCGCTCAACTGTGGGCAGTGCCCAAACGGGCTGGGTGAGCCCTCGGGGACTGGCAGGGCCCGGGGTGGGATGGAGGCACACGGTGACCCCAGGGCCCCTTGGGCTCTGTGAATCCAGGAGAATCAGAGGTGGAGCCTTCCAGGAGAAGGGGAGGGGGACAGCGAGCAGGAGGCCAGGCTTTCTAAAGCCACTCTGGGTCCCAGGAAGAGCCTCGTTCACAGAATCCAGCCCGCCCCTCGAGACACCCCCATCCACAGAGGTCCAGGCAGAGACCCTGCTGCAGAGTACAGGGAGGTGGGCTCTCACTGCCCCCCACTGGGGAGAGGGAACAGGCACATCTATCATTTGGAACCCCCTCCCCAGCCCCCACTTCCAGGGGCTGCTCAGTTTTCCTGGAGCCTTTCCAGCCCCGCTCAACCACGGCCCCCAAGGTACCACAGTAGATGCCAAAGTTCAACCTTGGCCTCTCGGCCACAGGCGGCAGGGAAGAGGGGAAGCAGGGAATCTGTGGACTTGGGAGGAGCCAGGAATACCCCTTCCCACCCTGCCCCGGCACCAGGGCTTGTCCCTCAGGCTCTCCCTCGCCCAGCCGGGAAGAGAGTTTCTGCGCTCTCCTGACATCTTCAGGAAACAATGCCGCTCCCTGACAACTATAGGGATCCTCCACCCCCTCCCCCCAGAGAGGGGTCCCAGAACCTCTTCCTTTCTTCCTTGTCCTCACGGTGCTCCATGGGCCCTGGGCCTCCTACTGTCCCCCCTCACACACCCCTGGGACAACACCAACACAGCCCAGGCAGCCCCGAGTGGTCCAGCAGCCACCCCATTCCTGCCTAAACCCCTATCTCTGCCAAAGCCCCACTTGGAAGGCCCCAGCCTGAGGACTTCAGCCCCCCGCTTCCCAGTGCAACCCCAAAGCTGTGTTTTTCAGAGCCACGGTGGTCTGGGCTCCCAGGGAGGGTGGAGAGGGCACACAGAGGACAAGGGGGCTCCGAAGACAGCGTTTTCACGGAGTCTCTCTAGCCTGGCCTTGTGGGAAGGCTTCCACTGCCGCACGCCCGAGCAGAGCATCCGCCTTCCCTCCATCACCCAGTTTCCTAGCTCCCTCTCGCCACCTTTTGTGCAGAAGCAAATTCTGGCTGAGATGTGGCCTCTATCAGCTTTGGGCCACTTCTGTCTCCTCCTCCAAGTGGGGAGAGAGAACCCTCTCTGTGCCCTCGTGGCCCCTGCAAAGTCATTCCTCCAGTCCGACCTTGTTCCCTTGGTTCTCAGGGCACCCTGTCCTTTCCCTTCTAGCACTTACCACCACCGTACATTGGCTATGACTCTGCGCTTCCACTCAATGCCTGGCTCCCCAGGAGCTGGAGCTTCACGAGGGCAGGGTCCACATCTGCCCTTTGCACCACTCCACCCGCTGTGAGGAGGAGCTCGGGAAATGTCTGTTCCAAGAAGGGGCTTGTGGCCTAACTCGGGTCAGTCCCACTGCAGGACCCACATCCTGTCCCTCTGCCCCTGAACTTGGACGTTTGGACACCACCAACCCTCCAAGCAGGCCTGCCTCTCCAGGCCAGGCCTCAACCCTCCCCATCCTTGGGCTGCCTGGTGCAGAGAGTGAGACTCTAAAGTCTTCTACGGAGCAGCCCAGAGCACATGGAGATGGAGAGGATGGGGTTGCTTAGGCAACTGTCTCCTGGCAACCGGCTCCCTGGCTGATCTCCTACACCCCCCCACCCCCGCTTCATGCTGGGGGAGCTGGGATGCGAGAGGGATCAGGACTGAGGAGACAGGGAAGCCACAGAGACACCCCCCCTCCCCGCCCCCAGCATCCTCTGACCAGAGGGGACTCAGGGGTAAAGAGACCCGCCTGTCCATCCCAGTCTCTGCCAGGGTAGCCCCCAAGCGCTCTCCTAACTCCACGCTTCCCAGGCCCCCTGCCCACCACTGCTCCCTACCTCTGTGCCAGCACTACCAGAGGACGAGATGCCCCTGCCTTGGGCAGTCCCTCCTCCTACCTAACCGGGAGCCCTCCTACAGAGCAGGCCGAGCCTGCAATAATCTCTCTCACCTTCTATCCATTCTACCCACTCTACATAGCTGCAGCGTCGAGCGCCCCGGGGCGAGAACAGGAACTCACCACTGACTTTTGAAAAGGGCGGCTGAGGCCCGGGTGGGCACAGAGGACCTTATACTGACCCTGTCCAAGCTGTGGAGGCCCATCCCGTCCCACTTCCCTCCTACTCAATTAGGAAGAGCCTAATGAACACCTGGACCTCCTTAATTAGCCCCCTGCCTAATGACCTAACCAACTGCCCAGAGCCAGAGGCCTGGGCATCTGTTCTCCAGACGCGCACCTTTTCCCCCTGGCCTGGCCTGCCCCCATCCCTCTTCTCCTTTCCGGCCCTCTCCTCCTCTAGGAAGCCCTCCCAGACCTGACTTTTGGCTGCCTCTCCAGGGCTGGAGGGGCTTAGCAAGATGCCATGGACACAGGGGGTTGGCTAGGATGGCTTTCCGGCTCCGCCTGACCTCAGGCCACAGCTATGACTCCTTGGGCTCCTGGCAAGTGTGTCACCAAGCGTAGACCCTGGAAGGCTCCGGCAGCTTCTGCTTCTCCCACTCAAGGCAGTGCCAGCCGGACAGAGCTGGGCAGGGTGGGCCTCCTGGGGGCAGGGAGTGGGGACCGAGAGAGTAGAGGGGCTGGGGGGAGGGCAGCTGGGCCAGACCCACCTTCTTTAGGGAAGGGTGGTGGCAGAGAAGCCTCAGCAAATGGAGAACAGAGAGGACACAGGGCTGGAGAGGCTCATCTGACAACACCCTTGACAAGGAGGAGGGGCTGAGGGAACCAGACATGGTGGGAAATCCAGAGTGACCCCGTGGACAGCCATTTGTCCAAGCTGGGATCCAGACCCAAGAGGAACCTGTGGGTTGTATTTACATGCAGATGAGGTGCAAACACTATGCAAAATTACCCTAAAGGGGGTCTCAGGCTGGAGGGGGCATGGGAGAAAACAGGCCCCTGCCTCCCCCAATTTAACACCTCTTGGTACCTGAGCAATATTCAAACCATTCTCGGGTTTCAGAATGATGCTATCTCAGTTCCTGTGAGGGCGGCCTGGGGCCAGTGGGGAGAGTGCGGGGCGGCGGTCAGGGTGGCCTCCTGGAGCTGCAGCTGTGGCCGGGCTGCCCTTCCTTGGGAGCCCAGAGTGTCTCCCAGCTCCTCTCCTACCTCCCCGCAGCCCCCACACCCTCCCACCCACACCTGCCAGCCGGCGCAGGTCTACTGCCCTACCCGTGCAGGTCAAAACTGAGCAGGGGCCCAGAGAGGCTGAGCGAGCAGCCTCCCACCGCAGAGCACCGGGCTTCCACCCCGCTCTCTGCACGGCGAGAGAGGCAGCCCTCATTAGGCAGGCCCTCCATCCCTTCCTCTCAGGCTGCTCCAGGCCGCAGGCTGGGGACTGGGGGGGAAGGCAGGAGGCGCCGGAGACAGCTGTCAGCCCTCCTCCGCCCCTTCCCCGTGGCTGGGCTGCAGGGCATGAAATAAGCAGCAGGCGCTGGGGGAGGGGGTGACAAGCCAATCCACCTGTCACCCCCACAGTCAGGCGGCCTCAGGCAGCCTGCTCACTAACGAGGGAGGAGGCGTGGGTGAGGCAGACACAGAGGAGGCTGGTAGAGGGGGACAGACAGACGGGCGCGAGAGGCCAAGAGGCCAAGAGGAAGGCCGAGTGCGGGGCGGAGGCAGGGACAGACAAGGAGAGGGCCAGAGCAGAGAGGGCGAGGCCCGGAGCCCAGACTCAGAGGCAGCCCGACCGCGCCCCAACGCTGGGCTGGGCGCGCGGCACGACTGGGGGGGACGCCAGGCCTGCCCTCCGAACACCTACAGTCCAGCCAAGAGACAGACCGGGGGAGGGCAGGTCCCACCAAGGGCGAGGGCATGCGGGCTTCGAGGGCAGGCAGGCCCCCACAGTGGGCAGAGGGGGAGCCCAGGAGCCCTCTGGGTCTCCCCCACCCTAGCCCGGGGTTCACAGCCTGCAGCCTCTCCCCTCGGCTTCGAGGGGAGCAGAGACATACTGAGGTGCACTCTGAAAGATGGGGTGGGAAGGCGAACCCCAACACCAACACGCGGGGCCCAGGCAGAGGGTGCTGGGGTTCACAGCCCCCGGGGTACACACAGGGGGCCTTCCTCCGCAATCTCTGAAGTCCTCGGAAGTGGGGGCAGTGTCCCTCGCCCCCACCCGCCCAGCCCAGTTCTCACGCCCCCAGCCTGCTCCCCCCACTTCTCCCCTGCTCCTCTCTGCTGTCCCTCTTCCGTTCCACCCCCTCCCCCAGCCCAGGGCAGCCACTTCATTCAACCCAGAGTTCCAGTGTCTGCTTTCAAAGGCACAGGCAATCCCCATCCCCGTCCCCATCCCCATCCTCCTCCCCTCAAAGTTCTGTTTGGCAGGCTCCCTTCCCAAACCCCTGGTTCCCACCATCTTCCCCTCCCTCGGGAACTCCCCTCCCCCAGCCCAGCAGCCTCAGGGCTGGGCAGGGGCTATTTTTAGCCTGGGCACTGAGCTAATTTTAACTCACCGACAGGGACCTGGGGGCGGGCTGGCGGGCTGGGGGGAGGGGGAGGACCAGTCCGGGAAAGCTGGACCCAGGGCAGGGGTGGTCTCAGGTCCCAGGTGCCCCAGGAAGGCGAGTGGAGACAGGCACTGCAGCCTTGGCTGAAGGGACAGGAACGGACTTGCCAGAGGAGCACCCCGCGTGGCCAGCTCGCTGGGCACCCTCCCTGCAGCTTCCGCTGGACACCTCTCCCGAGCCCCACCCCAGGCTTCCCGTCGGGACAAATCCCCTGGGATGGGGTCATCCTGTTCTCTGCCCAGGAGATGTCTCTCCAGTGAGGGTCTGTCTCCTGAGCCTCCTCCACTGCCTCCCCGCCCCAGCTTGTCCTTCCTGTAGTCTAGCTCCCATCCTTCCTGCAGCGGCCAGAGCGTGTCCAGTGCCCGACAGAGGCGGCAGCCAGCCCACCCCCCAGGCTCGGGCACCGCCTACCGCAGCTCTGGGCTTCCCCTGGCGGCCTCTGGGCCGGCTCCTAGGAACCACCCCTCACCCCAAATCCTCCCAAGTTTCTGGAGCCACCGGGCCTCATCTCAGGAAGAATCTGGGGTAACGGGAGATTGAATCCTAGCAGAAAAGGGGTGGGTGTGGTTGGGCAACAAACAGCCCAGGGAAGCATGGGATCTTTGGGCAGGGCTTCTGGATGCCTGGGTTCTGGTGCTTGCTCTGGTCCTAAATGACTGTGTGACCGTGAATAAGTCACTGTCCCGCCAGGTGTTACCCCACTGGTCAGTACGATGGGTGGCTGGAGAGGAGCACATAGCCGAGTGCCCTTTCAGCCAGGACATTTGGTTCCTGTGCTCCTTAGAGAGGCCCAAAAGGAAGGGAGGTCAGGAGCAGGTTCCTCCACGGGGAGGTAACAGAAGACACGGCCTGGTTGGGTCCACTGTCCTCCAGCCTAGGGGGAAGGGCAGTGTGGGGACCAGAAGGCAGGAGGGATGGATGGGGCTGATAAAGACGGAAGGTGCTTTCTGAACAGTAACCCTCGTAACAGATGGCAGAGGGTTGAGAGAGGCTCATGGTCAGCCAGGGCGGGTACCAGGTGGGGCACACCAGGGCTCTGGCTGCAGAGATTCAGCCACCCCAACCCCAAACACACCTGGAATGCCTATAAGACCCAGGGCTTGGGTAGTGACTGCCCCCCGAGGTCACGGTCATGGTCATTAGTGGGGCTGGTTCTGGAACCGAAGCCTGAGCCTTGCTTCATGCTCTAGCCGGCAGACTGATCCATAATGACTCACTACCACCATCTGCATGGGGATTTGCATAGTGTCTCTGACCTTATTCCACGAGGCTCAACTTCCCATTCCGGGAACTGGGCCACCCCCACCCAGCACACCTAGGCACTTAGGATGGAGTTCCCGGCACCTTGTCTAGAAAGCATCCCTGAATGAATAAAGAATCCCCGTGGTACTGTCTAAGCTCTCAGTCCCATGGGGCCCTCCGCTCTTGTCCCTCCTCTGAGTGGGGTGGGGGTGTGACCCTGAGACGGAAGCAAGCATCGGAGATTCGTGGGGGCTCCCTGGGGGCTCCCAGGAAAAAGAGCCCAGCTCTTAATGCCCAGACTGGGGCAGCAGGAGGACGGGCTGGTTGTCCTTTACTTCTACCTCTATTCTCATTTCTAAAATCCACTTCCAACCCTCCAAATGAGAGGAGACGGCCTCGTGCAGCAGACAAGACACATGCTAGGCTCAGAGAGGACTTCCCAGGGCTGCACTTTTGGCCTCAAAGTCGTCTCTGGGGCTCAAATTCGCTTTGTTAGAAGTCACCCAACCAAGCAGGGGCAGCTGGTAAGGTCTCAGGGAGCACGGAGGCCCCGGCAACGCGCCAGCCCGCGGGGACTGGAAGGCAACCCGTCCCCTGGCCGCCTCGAGGAGGTCTTGTCTGCCTGTCCAGTCAGAGCAGCGCCCTCGGCAGCCCTGCCCTGGCCTAGTGGTCCGCTCTTCCGGGAAGGCCTTCCTGCCCTCCCACTGCAGCCAGTCCTTCCACTCGGCTCATCCAGATGAGAGTGGTGGCCGGGGGCCCCCTGGCCATCCGAAGCGGTTGGGACGGTTAGTGTGTCACCTTCTACCTCCCCACCCAACTTCCCTCTGGGGTCTCAGGAGACAGAAGTGAAAGTGGCAGCTGGGGCCTTGGGGCGGGTCAGCTTGAGAGCCGTTGGGTGAGCCACCAGCGCTGTGTCTGGGCCGCCTGCCACGGCAAGCGGGTGGGCTGATGGTTAGAGCAGGGGAGGGACTTCCCGTGGAAGTGAGGGCGCGGGGTAACTATGGAGTGCCGGCCCCCGGGCGAAGGAAGAGCAGGCTGAGAAGGAAAAAGTGGACAACAGGGCAGGAGACGGTCTCCGAAGACGCTCTTCCAGGGCGGTGGTGGGACCCTTCCTTCCCGCGCACAGAGCAGAGGCAGGTGGCGGGGTCTGGGCCCTGGCTGCCAGAACAGGAAGGCGAGGAGAGAGGACACAAGGATCGAGGCCCGGGCCCTCCCACGGGGCAGCACCCAGCCTGACGACAGGGCAGCTGGAGGGTCAGGCTGTGAGTGTCCACCTACAGTCACAGACGGGGCCCAAAAGAGGCCAATCCAATCAGAGGAAGCAAATCCTCCTAGAGACATCATGACCTCAGGGAGCCACCGAGGATTTAAAGGGGCCGCTTAGGGCAGTGGCTGGGTCTCCTCCTGACTCGAAGGACAGTCCTCTAAGCCCCTGGCAGGGGAGGGCGGGCAGGGCGGCTGCGTGGGCCTGCCGAGGCGGCCAGCCAGGCAACTCTTACAGGATTAGCTCGCTGCTTTCAGGAAAGGTGCCAGGTGAGGCTAAGATGCCCAGCCAGATGGACGGGGCCCAGGCGGGTGGGGGGGTACCTCTACGCAGCTACACAAACCCTTGCCCCCAGATTCAATTCACAGCCCTCCCTTTCATGAGCGGACTGTGCGAAGACCCCTGGCTATCAACCAGCTTTCTCTGATCTGGCACCATCCTGGCTCTGAGTGGCGAAGTCCTGCCCACTGTCCACTCTCAATCCTTCTGCCACACTTTACAACAAGCGACCCCCACCCCACCCCCACCGAGCCCCAGGGAGCAGGTGAGGGGACCAAGGGGTTCCCACTCTCCCCTGCTGGCCAGCCCCTCACCCTTCACCCCCTGGGCTGACAGGTGGGAGAAACAAGAGGGAGCAGCTGGGCCAGGACACCTGTCCCCACCCGGTCAGTCCGGGCCCCACGGGCCTGCCCTGGGGGGTGCAGAGGGGAGTGGGCAGAGAGGCAAGCAGCTGTGGGGGCCAAAGGAAAGGAGCTCAAAGGTCAAGGAGAGATGTGACTAGAAGGCCTAAAGCCCCCCTTTCAGGCTCAGCCCTTCAGGGCCACCCCCAACCACTGTCCCTCATGTCACAGAACACACGCATGCTTTAAGGGGCAAAACTCGAGGTCCGAGGTCATCTGTGCCATCCCCTTGCCTCCATGTTACTTGATCCAACTAGAGCCTGGAGCAGGAAGACTCCAGAAACGAGAGAGACCACTCCCCTCCCCACCCACCCCCACTGAATGTTTTCTCTCGAGGTTTGGGGATGAGCTCTCTTACTCCTTGTTCTCCCAACCCTCAACCCCAAGCATTTGCTGGCGGGGGTGGGGCAGGGAAATCATGAGGAATAAGGAAGCAAGCAGCCAGGGGATCTGCTAAGACTCAGGGGGAGGTGGAGGTGGAGGGAAGGCTCTGAGGCAAGGAGACAGCTGGCTGGGGAGTGTCCCTGGCCCATGCCCGCGTCAGACTGAGCCCCTGGCCTGGAGGCCCCCCGCAGGGCCCGCTCAGGCAGCTCCCACATACCAGGTCCCCCCGGGACACTGCCTGTCCCCACCCCACCTTCTGGGTGGCTGCCTGAGCCGGCAACTCCTGGGCCAGGCTGGAGCTGGGGTCTAGAAGAAAGGAGGCACTTACTTTCTAAGCACCTGCTCTCGAGGGTCCCACGTTTTCCCCACGGACCCTCCTTCCTTTCCCAGGGGAGGCGGCTCTTTCTGTCACCAGCAATGAGGAGCAGAGGTGGGCTCACCGCATGACGGGGCTTCCCTCCCTCCCCCTGGGAGTTCGAGCAATTCCTTCCAGGACGGTCCCAAACTTCGGGGCCTGGGCAGGCTCCTGTCAGCCTCTCGCCTTCAGACCAGCCTGAGCTCCTGCGGCCGCGCATTACAGCCAGCTCGAGAGGGGACTGGCAGGCGACTGGCAGGCGTCACTTGGTCCCTTTTCTGGGCGCTTTCTCCCATGGCACTCCATCGGGGGACGATACCTTCTCTGGAAACCACAGCAACATCTCCCTCAGCTGCCCTAAGGCAGGGACTCCTACGGGTTCGCACTTCCCTCCACGCCCGGTCCTCATCCCCCTCGTCCTCCTCCCAGGTCTCCCTGGGTCTCCTGCTCCCCTGGGCCCTTCCCTTAACGGCAGACAAAGCCCCGAACACCTCCTAACCAGGGAAGAGGGGCCGTGAGGTCTTCCCGTTCCAGCTGGATCACGTGACGTGGAGGCAAAGGATGGAGTGGATGACCCCCTAAGCAAATCACTTAAGTCTCTGACTCAGTTCCCCAGTTATAAAAAACAGTTATGCCAGGAAACCAACGAGTCTTCATACGTTCCCGTGCCCGGCACAGAGCCTGGCACACAGGGTGCGACGAACAGAAGCTTCCTTGCTCCAGTCCCCAGGGATCTCAAGAGCTTTAGTGTCAGGTCTCCAAAGTAAGAGTGAATGGGATACTGCCCATGGTGAAGGTCCCCGGACCAGAGGGCAAAAACATCTCCTTTTCTATATGCTTCCCTGGTCTGCCCAGCTCCCCGGGAAGTGGCCAGAGCACCCAGCCAGAGGCACCAAGCCAAGGTCAGTGACCAGGCCTAGAGCCCAGAGCCTCCTGGGAGGGTGAGTTTAAATGAGTAAATATGGTCCCGCCTGGGTGTGGCCAGCAGCAGGCCGAGCTCTGGACAAGCCCCTCCCCTCCCAGCCTACAGCAGAAGGGAGAGAGCTCGCCCAGCAGCACAGCGGCCTCCCCACCCCTGCGAAGGCTCTCGGGGTCCTGCGCACAGTCAGTGAGCACATCCTCTGGTCTCCACGCCAGCCAGGACCAGCCAGAAGCACGGCTAGGCTCCCAGGAAGGGGAGGTTGCGGCCACAGCCTCAGGAAAAGGAAAAATCAGATGCCACGAGCCTTGGGGACCCCCCCAGGCCAGGGATCTACCCCACAATGCCCGAGGGCTCAGATGCAACCTTGATACATCGGGGTGGCCTTGCTCATCAGAGTGAGTGGGGAGGGAGACAGAGACTAGCGCAAACCACCAGGCCTCCCAGGTGCTCTGATGGCCACCAGGCTAGTGCGACTCCTGTCCACCTGGAGAGCTGACTTACCCCTGGGCACGTGGTCCATGGGCGGGCGGGCGGGGCGGGGGGGGCCGAGGCGGTGAGAGCCCCGGCCACGGGGAGGGGCCCTGGGGGCGCTGCAGGGGCAGTGACGGGAGTCAGTCAGGGCTCCTCGACTGGCAAAGCCACGCTCTAGGGCTGCCCATCTGTGGTCTAACCTCAATCCCTCCTGCTCCAGTCAGCCCTCCCTCTTCCAAGTTCTTGCAGGCCTCCGCCTCCTCGCCCCTGGTCCCCCGCCCATCCCCAGCCTCCAATCCCTTAATCATGTTCCCATCCACTAGCCCTCGCCCCCCGCGGGGCAGCAGCTTGCTCCGTGGGCGTCTACACGCCCGTGTGTACGTGCTTGCACACCTTCATGCACACGTGCCACCAAATGCTGGGGGACCTGCCGGGTGCGTCTGGGCACGGCGCTCTGCGCAAGACCCTACCCGGCGCCCCTCGGCGGGCTCCAGCACAGACTCTCCTCAGCCTCAGGCAGGGGGCAGAAGAGAAAATAAACACCCCATCCCCACCAGGCCACTGTCGGAGGCCTTTCAGAAAGCGGAGCCACCAAGAATGGCTAGAGAAAGCACTCTGAGATCCCCACGTTTCCTAGGCCGAGTGAGAGCCACCCCTGTCCCCTCATCGGGCGCCACGGGTAAGTTCTGCCCGAAGTCTGAGCTCCGTCCCCCCGCTGCGGTGGCGGGCAGGCGGGCGGCACCAACCACAACATAGCGAGGTGGCCGGCCTCCCACACACCAGCTACTAGCACCTCACGCCTCCCCCTCCCACCATGAGTAAGTCACCAAACTGGGACAGAAGGACAGACGGTTGGCTGGACTCCGGCCCCATGACTGCTCATAAAAGCCACCGGCGATTACAGTGATGCTGAGGCGATGCTGGCCCCTGTCACCTCCTCCCTCCCTGTAAAAGGCCAGGGGCCGCAGGGAGCCCAGAGTCCCAGCCGTGGTCCCATGGGGGGGGGAGAGCCCCCCTCCGCAGTGCCACACGACCCAGACCCCAGCCCCCGATGATGGATTCGAGGCCCACGTCCGACCCGAGGCCGGGCCTCGGTTGCCCACCCCCCACCGCCCCTCTTCTCCAGTGAGGCCCCCCCTTCTGGACCAGAAGGGCACAGATGCCGGAAGCCTAGCTCCAAATACCACCAGCAAAATGCTGGAGCCGCCCGCTCATCCTGGACCCGCTTGCTCCCACACAGGCACATCAGTGGGTGGCCAAGTGTCCAACACGGGGCCCACCCACACCAGGCCAGGGGGTAAGCACGGAGATTCTGGCCCCGGGGCCGACCAGGGAGGGCAGGTGGCCCAGGTGGCCAGGGGAGAAGATTCGCAAGACGAGCAGAAGGCCAGGCCTCTCTGGGGGCACGAGGGCTAGGGACGCCCACAACAGAGACCTGCCCAAGGCAGGGTCGGAGGAGGAGCGTGGGAGAGGCTAGGTCGCAATCGGTGAGGGTCTAAACTAAGGCCTCATCTTCCCTGGGCCCTGGAGGGCCCTGAAGGGCCTCCCCCAGCCTCCTTACCACAGGTACTCCAGACCCCCCTGGGGACTTTACCCTCCACCTTCCTCCCCCATCACACCTCTCAGGAAAGACCAGCAACGATTAAAAAAAGAAAAAAAGAGAGAGAGAGAGAGAGACAGAAAAAAGAACACCCTGCAGGAGAAAGATTATATAACAGCAGTCGGAAGCCTACCCTATCTCCTGGTCTGTGCGAAGAGCCTGGAGCCAAGAGGGGCAGAGCTGGGACGCCCAGGCCCCTCCAGCCCAGGAGCGCGGGCACAGAGTGCAGTGGACAACGGGCAGTATGTCAGAGCCACGGGTCCTAGTCCTCCACCACTCGGTTCCAGGCAGTGGCTACAGGAGACAGAAGCTCCAGCCCAACCTCTCACGCCCATCCCCCAACACAAGGGTCAGGATGCTCTCTCTGCCTGGGGCCTGCTGCTCCCCTTGGACCAGCGGTTCTAAGAGCAAGGATTGTGTCTTCCCTCTCACGGCCTAGCCCTACTACGGAGCCATGCCTGAAGGACTGGCACTTAGACTAAAGCCTTGACACAGATCTGCTGTGTGATTTCAGGTAAAAAGCTCAACCTCTCTGGTCCCTAGAGGAATGTGAGTGAAAACCCTTCCTTTTCCCAGAGAAACCAGAGACCCCTCACTTACGAATGTCCACACACAAACACACACACACACACACACAGGTACACAAGCACATGCAGAGTATGTTGGGGGGTGGGGAGATACGACAAAGAGAATAGGACCACTGAGACCCAAGGGTCTAAATGCCTGTCCTAGGGCAAACCGGGAAAGAGCCACACGTAAGCTCTAGTGTTCCCCAATCACCCCACGTAAACAGGCCCTCAGCCACCCTCACACGGATCCCACCCCACCCCCATCTCCTGCCCAACACACTGGGAAACCACAGGAAGGAAATTCATTCCCAGGCAGGCCGTGGGAGCTGGGACAGCCAGGCTAAGTCCTGGGGCGGGTGTGACCCAGCGGCCACAGGCGGGCTGGACATCTGTGAACACTGACATGTGTCTTGTCCATGCTCTCCTTGGCTACCAAGACTTCCCTGTTGGGGGTTTGAAGACGAGTGGGAGGTGGACAGCTCCCTAACTTCAAAACACCCAATCTCGAGCTGGCCTGGGCTCCCCTCCTATCTCGAGGCCAGAGCAGCCCAAGGTCACCGCCCCAGACGGCAAACTTCCCATAGTCCAGGCTGGCCCCTGAATTGCCTAGGAGACCCACCGAGGGGATGGGGGAATGGTGGGGGAGGGCCACCCCCAAACCAAAGAAACCAGGCCAACAATGAGACCTCAAAAAGGGGACTGGGCACAGGGAAGGGGAGCAGAGGATCCACCCACTATACCCTCCCCCAAACCTCCAACAATGCCCTGTTTAAGAGGAGGTACAGAGAGCCTCCCACTCAGAAGGACAAACCTGGGATAACCTAGTCAGTGGCTCCCACATGGGGAGAGACCTCCAGAGGCTGTCCAGAGGTCGGCTTGAACCACTAAGGAGAAGGGGCCCTGCAACCCAAACCCGACAGGAGGGGGCTGCCATGGGGGCGAGATACAAGACCCATTCTGGTCTCCTTGGCCTTCCCTC